GCGGGGACTGATTGGGTGGGGAGCTGGTTGGTGGGGTTTCGTGGGCGGGGATGCCGGCAGGCTCGGGGCTGCACCTGGTGGTGCGGTGTTTGTGGGGCAGGGACTCCTAGAATGGGGGGACTCCCGAGAGGAGCGGCTCGCGGACTCCTGCAGGAGGGGCAGGGCTTCGCGGGCTGGATCGTGGGGCGGGAGCCGAGGGGTTGGTGTGCGGAGGCTGGAACTCGGGCGGGACTTCTAAGAGGCTGAGCTGATCGGCGGAGACTCCGAGTGGCCGGCTTCCGGGGGGCTGGGCTCTGAGGGTTGGAACTCGTCCTGCGTGGTTTGAGGACGGGGACTCCGGGAGCAACACTGAGCCCCCATCCCAGCCTGCCCCTGAACCAGCTTGAAGCAGCCCTCACCAAGGACGCGTCTCTCCCCAAAGCCGAGTGGCAGGTGGCGGAGGCAAAAGCGCTGGTCCACACGCTGGACAGCTGGTCCGTGGTGGAGACAGTGGTGGTGCCCACCAAAACGCCCGACAAGAAGCTCATCTTCAGCAAGGGGGCTTTGGAGCACCTGACAGGTGCGTCTGGCGCTCATGTCCCTGTCTTTTCTCTCTTCTTCCGGAGAAGAACAGAAAAAGCACAGGCTGACCTGTGATGAGGCCTCATGGGAACTTGGGTCATCGTGGAAAAAGCCTGGCATCCACACTGGAACTCAAACGAGGCTTGGGGTGGGGGCAGTTTAGGGTGCAAGCCGGCGGTGGCGCTCAGCCCTCCCTCCTAGCTTCCCACTGCCAACTCAGCACCGGGTCCTGCCTGTGAGCCCCGCTCTCCTGGGATCCCCAACAGTCCCCACCCCACACTGTTGTTGAGTGCAGTTCACAGCAGCGAGCCCAGCACACGCACCAGGGGTGTTCACTGCCTGTCTCCCCACATCTTAGAATTCAGTCCCCACGTGGTCATGTGACCTCTGTGCAGGCCACACCCCTGAACGTGAACTTGGGCCTCTCCTTGACCCCGACCCAGATGTCCAGAACACCGTGCTCATAGTCCAGTGACACAGCCAACCACAGTGCAGGGTCCTCCTGCCACAGATGTCTGTAGAGTGGCGACCCCTAACCGGACCCTCTCTCCCTTAGAGAAAATTAGAGGGTTGGCAGAAATCACAGCTGTCTTCCTGAACGTGGAGAGGATGTCGGCGCCCACCAAGGTACTTGGGGTCACTCTCCGTTGTCCACCCTCTGCGCTGAGGCTCGGGTCAGCCTCCCCTCTGAGGGACAGGACACAGTCTTGGGAGAGCGGCAGGTCCCGCCTCTCCTGAGATCCTGCCATGGGCCTGGGCTCCCATTGCGGGGCCCTCACACGCTGTCTTCTTTTCTAGAAAGAACTGGAGGCCGCCTGGGGCGTGCAGGTGTTCGACCGGTTCACCGTGGTCCTGCACATCTTCCGCTGCAACGCCCGGACCAGGGAGGCGCGGCTCCAGGTGGCTCTGGCCGAGCTCCCCGTCCTCAGGTGCTGGCTTGACATAGGGCCTCCGACAACAGAACCCCTCTTGTCATCATGTGGTTGACTGTTGCTCAGGGTGTGGTAAGGACAGAACATGGCTGGCCGTGCCCTCCTGGCAGAGGAGCTTGTTAGATGCCCGCTGGGGCTCAGCCCCCATGGGGAACTTCACCAGTGTGGCACCCTGTGCCCCGGCCTTTCGGCACACGTGAGAGGGAGGGCCCCGGTGCACTGGGGCTCCGTCCAGACCCCACCAAACTTCTGTCCTCGCCCTCGTGGGTGACGTGTCGCGCCTGCTCTGTGGTTGTGGGATGGCGCATGTGTGTCTGCTTAGTCACCTACTTCCTGTTTCCACACCAGGGCCAACCTGAAAAACGACGTTGGCCGTCTGGACGGACGAGGAGGGGGCTCTCGCTACATCATGGGGTCAGGTAACATTCCAACGTCTTGTCCACAGGTGCTGGGAAGGGGGATGTCACGGCAGCCACCTCTAGGAAGGGGACAACATCCCTGGAAGATGCTGATGGGGCTAGGGCTGCGTGCAGGCTCCTTCTGCACTCACATCAAACAAGCTAGGGATCCAGGCGGTGTCCTGGGGCAGTCATGACAAATGGGCATACACTGGGGGAGGGGCTCCAAACATCACGAATCCCTTCTCTCCCCCATCCTGGAGACCAGCAGGGTGACATTGGGTGTCCCAGGGCCTTGCTCCCTCTGGAGGCCCCAGGGGAGGGTCCTTCCTGCCTCTCCCAGCGTCTTGGACTCTGGAGGCCCCAGGGGAGGGTCCTTCCTGCCTCTACCAGCATCTGGGGGACCCAGGCGTCCCTGGGCTGGTGGTCACGTCCGTCCCGTCTCTGCCTCTGTCTTCCAGTGGCTTCTCTGTGTCTGTGTCTCTCCTCTTCTGTCCGTTATAAGGACACTGTCCCTGGGTTTAGAGCCACCTGCTCCAGGAGGACTCAGATCATTCATTTAGTCACATCTGCAAAGGCTTATTTCCAGAGACAGTCCCATTTACAGACTGCGGGGGGACTGTCAAGATATGGACACAATCCTGGGGCACCACTCAGCCTACTGTGGATATCGGGGGACCGTCCTTCCGAGGCTCTTGCTTCCTACTGAGTAAAGGGGAGCCCATGTGACCACAGAGGGCAGAAGGGGGAGGCATGGCTGCCTTCTGCTGGGCAGAGCCAAGTCAGAACAGGTGTCGGGGGCACTGCTTGGGGCCTCGGGTGCACCTGCTCGCACCCCACAGGGGCCTCCGTTGTGCGGCTCGCTTTTACACTCTCCCCACGTCTGCTCACCGACTCACCTGCTTCGGTGCTTGCAGGGGAGTCTTTCATGCAGGTGCAGCAGCGTCTCTTAAAAGAAAAGGAAATGAAGATCCGGAAGGCCCTGGAGAGGCTCAGGAGAAAGAGGCGGCTCCTGGGGACGCAGCGGAGGCGGCGGGAGCTCCCCGTGGTGTCCGTGGTGGGCTACACGAACAGCGGTGAGCAGTTCCGGCGTGGGAAGGGGCCCACCCCCAGGGCTGGCATGTTTTAGGAGAACCCACTCACAAACACAGTGGGGCTGCGGTATTCCCCGAGGGCTGGTGGGTGATGAGGACAGACAGGAACAGGTGACCCTCGTGCCTGTGGCTTCTTGGGGCCCATGGCTCCCAGCCGAGTAGCCAGTCTGTCTGTTCAGAGCCTGACAGTGGACCGGGCACCCTCGCCGACAGAAGTTACCCATACTGAGCAGTAGAAAAAGTGGAGGTTTTCCAGCCCACTTCCGGTAGCCAGGCTCCTAGAAGCCTGTGTGAAGGAGGGCGCCACAGGGTGCTGCAGGCTTCATCAAGCATGCACGTTAGGTGGCATCTCACGTGCAGAGGCAGGACTCTGGGCTTCTCGTGCGGGCACTGAGGCCCGATGTCACGGGCACCCTCAGATCAGCGGACAGCACCCACGTTCTCATTCGCCTCCGTTATCCACTCAGCGAGCATCTGCTGAGCTCCGCCAGGCCCCGCCCCTCGGTGTGCTGCCCCGCCTCTGTGTGCTCGAGAGAATAGCTGTGACATGGGCAATTCCCTGTCCTCCCAGGGCTCGTGTCTGTGCCCTCAAGAGGGGTCACTTTCCCCACCATCCCACCATCTGCTCACCCCCATCTGTACTGGCCCCCTTCATCTACAGTGTCTCCCCCCCCATCTACACCATCGCCCCATCTCTACCAACACCCTCGTCTACACACACACCCAGCACAGGTACCTGGACTCCGTCGTCCCTCTATGTACCGTCCCCCCCACCCGTACCCTGAATACGCCATCGGCCTCGTCTGCTTGGGCGCCCATAACCCTGGGCCGGGCCGTTTGCTGGAGAGGCCAGACAGCAGCGGCCATGTCTGCATGGTCCGCACACAGCATCCTCGGGGCCCTGCAGAGACCGAGGAGCTCAAGGACACGCACGCGGCCGTCCTCTGCCAGAGCCGTGGGGGTCAGACGGGGCGTGGCCCAGGT